ATTATAAACTAATCACCCATACACAATATTTTCACTATATTTTTTATTTATTTTATCTTTAAATTTTTTATTATTTTTTTTTTTTTATTCTATGTACATTTCACTTTTGTTTTGTTTTGTTTGTTTTTTAAATTAAAAATATTTTTAATTTTATTTTAATAAATTATGTATACTGTATGTGACATTAAAAAAACAATTAAATATGGAGGTTATGCATTGTACGAAATCCACTCGTTTAAAATGAATAAATGTTTCATTATATTAACCAAACAATTTTATGCTATATATGTGAGTTGGTTGGGTTCAAAAATGTAAATAATACTTTTTTATTTTTTTTTATTTAAAAATAATTATAAATTTTTTAAAAAAAAAGTGAAAGATATATATGGCTATTATGTGTGGGTGTATAATTTGTGAAAGTGGGTTATTGAAAGATCTCAATAGGGAGAAGCTGAGTGTTTTAGAATTTTGTATAGATAAAAATTATATTACTATATAGTGGTATATGTTTAATAGAGTTGATAATGGTAAAATTAAAAAAAACATAATTGTTGTTATATAATTTTTTATATCCTAATTTTATTATTTTAACACACTGACATATTAGCCTGTGTGTGATTTTTAGTGTGTCAAAATAATGTGGGGTGAGTAAAGTGGTATATTATATTGTGTGGTAGTCTAATGAAAATCTGGGCGTGGGTAGTGAGTGTGTTTTTTATGTTTTTATTTTACCCCCATTATGGAATAATTTTTTTAACAGTTAAAATTTTCTTTACTAAACTACTATTTTAAATTGTTAACATATGTATCTAATGAGATCCTTGACTATGAGGAAAAAATATTGTATATATTATTTATAGAATTGTGTCCTCCATTGTTTTTTTTTTTTTTAAATGAATTTAGCAATAGGTTTAAATTTTATAGTGGCAGTAATGATGCCATTTATAAATCTAGATAAATTTACAAATCTTAAATTAGAAATTGATTATTATGAAAATATAAATATTAATCTATTGAACCCATAAGAATATAATAGGTGTTTTAAAATTAATATAATTGTTTTTTCTTTTCACAAAAAAAAAACAAAATAACACTCCCACTAAATTATTTATTTATACAATTTAACACTAAATCTCAAGGAGATTAAACCTTTTTCAACTAACTATTATCCACTACTAAATAAAGCCCTTTTTTATTTTTAAAATAATTGACAAATATTAAAAAAACAATACATAATATAAAAAAAATTACTAGAAAACACCTATAAAAATTACATAGTGGTAAAAAATTCCTTTATTTATATTGAATTGTTTTAATAATAAGACCAATTCAGAAAATTATTTATTCACCCACCCACTAACACACAAACAAAAAATAATTTTATACAAATATATTTTTCTGAATGTAAACATAAAATCACTATCAAAATTAAAATTGAAATCTCTTTAAAATTCAGCTATAATCATATGATTTATTATTGTTTTATTAATCATTTGCATTATTATAAAATGATAATCATATCTACAAGTTTATTATTAAAAAAGATAATTATAATAAATCTATCTAAAATAAGTTTTTTTATGAATTTTTTTTTTTTTATTTATTTATTTTTTTTTATTTTGGTTATTTATATAAATTTATTTTTTTTTATTTATAAATCTACCAATCTTTGATGGTTTACTATTATATTTTAATTTGAAAAATGTTAAGCTACCAAAATCTTCACCTAAAATAAGTCTTTGATTATTTGGAGAGAAAGAAACTGAGGAGGTTTTAATGGTGAATTGGAAGTTTTGATTGATTTGATGAGATGGATATTGGATTAATTTGGTGGCTTTATTATTATATTTGCTAGCTGCTAATAATAATGAAGAGTTGTTTGTGAATTGTAAAGAGGTAATTGGATAAACAATGGCATCGATTGTTTTTAATGGTTTTGGTGTGGTGGATTCGAAACAGTCTTGATAACGATAACTATTAATAATACCTGATTCAGAACCTGTAACTAAATAATTACCATCATCTGAACAGACGATGCATGAAATGGAGTTACTACCAAAATTACCCCAATCTTTAAATTTATTAGTAATTGCCATTTTCTCTAAACAAAATGTATAAATGAAACCTTCACTAGCTATAAATAACTTCTTTGCTGAATCATTTGAGAATCCCATTGCACTAATTCCACTTGATGGTATTCTAAACTCGTTTACAACTGTCTTTGATAATAATGAAATTATTGAAATTCTACTTGTTGAATCTGAAATTGCAAAATAGCTGTTTGAAATACTTGATTTTTTTAAATAGTTTTTACCAACTGATATAAAAAATAAACTTTAATTAATACAATGTATCTTTATATAATAGTATAGATATAAAATGATCTTTTACCTCTTAATGGACGTTTGGTAATCTTTTCAGTTAAAACTTCAAATGTATAGTAATATTCTTTATCTAAACCGGTGATAATAACTTCGTTGGTTGATTCAATGAAATATAATTTTTCAATTGAGAAATCTACAAATTTACCTTGATAAAGTGGTTTAAATTTCTTTGTAAATTCGACTGAACCTTGATAAACTCTAAAGTTGCCTTTAATATCACCCATAAAAATTAAATTACCATCATTATTATATGCAATTGATGTAACTTGACCTGGTAAAACTTGTTGGAACTTATCAGCAATAAATTTAATAGAATCTCCATTATATACACTTTTATTACTATTAATAATATTATTAATTTCATCATCTTCTTCATCTGTATCTTTTTTTTCTTTAACTTTAGCCCATTCTGGTACACTATAAAATAGAATAAAACAATATTAATATTTTCAACTAACGTTAATGTTGTGGTATTTATAAAACATACACTGTTAATAATGATTTAGTTTTAAAAGTTTTATTGGTTCCATCTTCATCATCAATCCAAACACCTTCATCATTTGATTCTAATTTAATTTTTTTTGATGGTTTATCCTCTTCCTCCTCTTCTTTTTCTTCTACATTTTCTTGCTCTTCTTCTTTTTCTTCATCAGAATTATTTTCTTTATTTACATTTTCATCCTCTTCATCATTCCAAGCTGGAGCTTCAACTTGTTCTTCGACTTGTTCTTCAACTTGTTCTTCAACTTGCTCTTCAACAACTACTTTTTCCTCTACTTTAGTTATTTTTCTTTGTCTCTTTTTACCATTTGATAAATTGGCACTTGTTACTTTTTTGATTGCCATGTTTATCTCTTTTTTTTTTTATGCTGTATGACCAAAAAATTTTATTCGTTTCGTTTTTTTTTTTTTTTTAAAATTTTTTTTAAAAAATTAAAAATTAATTTTTTTTTTTAATTTTTTTTTATTTTTATTTATATTTATAACTTTATTTTTTAAAACTAAAAAGTATAGTTTTTTTATATCTTTATAAATTAATGTTATTTGAATATGAGTTAATATAACAAACAATTTTTTTTATAATATTTTCTTTTTTTTTTTTTTATTTTTTTTTTTTTTGTTATAATTATTTTTTTTTTAATTTTGGATATTTTAGGAACTAATACCATCAATTAAGAAATTTATTTTTTTTAATTTTTTTTATAATTTATTTAAAAAATTTAAAAATTATTCATTTTTAAAATAAAAAAAAGATGATTAAATTATTTGTATCATTATTATTATTATCTATTTGTATTAATAGTTCCTATGGATTTTCATATCCAGAAGAAGGTGCTTATGTTGGAATCAATTCAAATTTTATTTCAATTTTAACAAACGAGGTGTGTATTCAAAAAAAAAAAATAAAAAAAAAATCGTTTTTTTTATATTAATTATTTAAAAATTTTATTTTAACACAGTTTACAAGTTTATTCCAAAATCAAATAAATTCATTCCAAGTACCAGATATTAGTGGAAGTGTAGGAAGTGATAAATATGATTTTAGTTCAATTTCGCAATCCGTTCAATTAAGTGGTTTTTATTATACCCAAACAGGATCAGGTCAATATCAAATTGGATTCCAAAGTATTACCTTTTCAATTCATACTGATTTTAAAGCATGTGTACACAAGATGGTTGATGGCAAGCAAATTGATCTCTGTGAACATGGTAATGTTAAAATCAATTCCCAAGCAACTATTTCAAGCACTTCAAATGTAAATGTTGTTTTTGACACCTCATCTCCATCCCTTACATGTTTATCAACTACTATTAATGTACCATCAAATGGCATTAATTATGAAGTTGATTGCACAAGTAGAATCTGTGATAAGACCCATGATATTCGTGATAAAATCGAACAAGATTTTATTCCACAAGTTCAAACTTCAGTTACTGTATGTATTAATTAATAATTATTTTTGTATACAAACATATATTAATATATATTAATTTCAATAGACTGCAATTAATGGTATGATAAGCAAATATGAAACATTTTTTACAACTTTAAAACCATTAAATATTTTATTTAAAGGTAACGAATTATTTGTAAATTCCGAAGGTTATTTAATTCAATCAAATATTTCATCAGCATCCTTAACCCCAACATTACTTTATGCTATTAATGGCGGCGTTGTTGTAAAGAATTCTAATGGTCAATATATTTACCCATCACAATCACCAAATACATTGCCATCTTACATTGCTGTTGAGCAATTTTCAAGTGATGTTTCAGTTGTCTTGACCCCATTCTTTTTTGAATCACTAGTCGATGCTGGTCTTGATATTATGCTTCCATTCGAAATTACTGAAGAAATGGTACCACCATCATCCCCAATTCATTTAAATACATCTGATCCATTCTTTAACCAAACTGCACCAGGTCTTACTGCTAAATATCCAAATTCATTAATATCAGTTTCTCTTAATTCACCAGCTCCACCAACCGTTTCCCTCAATCAAACTGGTATTTTTATTCGTACTGCTATTAGTGCCGACTTCTATGTTGAATCTTTAAACACAAAAGAATTCTCTGTTGTATTTTCATTTGGTATTGAGCTTACACCAACTTTAAAACAAGTTTCAAATGGTTTCAACATTTCAGCCACTCTTGATACAATCGATGTTTATTCAGCTCTAGTTTCATTTTCAAGTGTTGGTGATGTTGATACTACTGGTTTCATTCAACTCATTCAATTAATTCAAGGTTTCATTCAAGTTCCAATGGTTACTATTCAAAATCCATTAACAACTTTCTCAATTACCTCTTTATCTTTTTCAGATAATAATCAATATATTCAAATTTTATTAAATTTATCAAAAGATATGTTATCACAAATTAAAATAAATTAATATAGGTAATATTAATTTATAATAATTAATAAATATAAAAAAAAATTAGTTTAGATTAACAAAAAAGGTAATTTGGCAAAACAAAAAATAAAAAATTAAAAAAATATAAACTATTAGATCAGATTTAAAACAATTGGTAATATTTAAGAAATGAAGGATAAATGTTTATAAATATATAGTTATAAATAATTTTTTTATTTTATAAAAAACTAGAATGAACAAAATAAAATATATATATTTAAGTTTTTTTTTTTTTTTTTTATTAATGAATAAAAACATTTTTTTATAAATGAATAAAAACAATATAAATTATAATTTGGACAAAAAATATTCAGAGGGGGATATCGTTTCCTTTTGGAACAACGTTGCTTTAGAATTTGTAAAATGGTATATTTTATTTTTTTATTATTTTGCAAAATACTTTTTTATAAAATTTTTATTTATTTTTTTTAAATTAAAATTTTTTTTCGCAACACTAAAACTATTTTTTAAAAAATAAGGGATAAACCATTTTCAAAAGCATACAGTGGAAATGAATATAATCCAGAATGGTTTAAAGATGGGTTAGTAAATGTTTGTAATAATGCTTTAGATGTTCATTTAAAAAACGATAAAATCAAAGATAGTGTTGCATTATACTACGAATGTCCAAGCAAAGGAATAAAAGGAAATTATACCTATCACCAACTGTGGAAAAAAGTATGCATTTTTTCAAGAGTACTTAGAAATCAAGGTATTGTTAAAGGTGATAGGGTTTTAATTTATATGCCAAATTGTGTAGAGGCTATTATCGCAATGTTATCATGTGCTCGGGTTGGTGCGGTCCATTGCAATACTTACTCAGCATATAGCTCAAAGAATTTATCCATTAGAATTGAACATTTAAAACCAAAGTTGGTAGTTTGTGCAAATTTTGGGGTTAAAGGAAATGACTATTACAATTATATACCAATTATAAAAGAAGCTTTGGATCTATCTAGTTTTAAATCAATGACTGTAATCGTTGTTGACCGTATAGATTTAATTAGTAAACAAAAGCAAAGAAATTTTATAAATCAAAATACAGATATAAAAATTGATAATTCATTAGATTGGGAAGAAATTACAAAAGATGTTGAGCCATTATTAGACTACGAAATGTTAAACTCAACTGATCCACTCTACATCTCATATACAAGTGGTACTACTGGTCAACCTAAAGGTCTTGTAGTGGATACTGGTGGTTTTTTAGTAAAGTCCTGTTATTCATTCAAGCATAATTATAACCTTCAACCTGGTGAAACATTTTTTTCAACTGCAGATATTGGGTGGCAAATAGGCCAAAATCTTATATACTTTTCTTTGTTACAGGGTATTGGTTGTATAGTTTATGAAGGAGGTGGCATCGAAACAAGCTATGATTACTTTAGAATTATCGAAGAGTATAGGGTATCAATATTTTTAACTGTTCCAGTAGATTTTAGAACTTTTAGGAAAATGGATCCAGAGGCAAATATAATTAGTAAATATAATTTAGGTAGTTTAAAAGCAATTGCATTGTGTGGAGAAGTTTTGGATAGATCAGTAATAGACTTTATAAAAAATAAAATAAAGAAACCTATTGTGGATAATTACGGCCAAACTGAAGGTGGATCTATTATTACATATCCTTTAGGTCAATTACCATATAAAGAGAAATCAGTTGGTAAACCTCTTCCCGGATTGAATGTAACCATTTTATCACCAACAACAAAACAAATTGCAAAACCAAATGAGGTTGGTGAAATTGTTATTAAATTACCACTTCCTCCATGTTTTTCATTAACTCTTTTGTTGGATGTCAACCAAGAAAGCTATTATAAAAAGAATTTAAACTCCTATCCAGGTTATTATTCAACGAATGATCTTGGTTATTACGACGAAGAAGGATATTATTATATTGTTTCAAGAGTTGATGATGTTATAAATTTAGGGGGCCATTTGATCTATAGCAAAGCTTATGAAGATATTATTCAAAATAATAGTAAGATTTTAGATAATGTAGTAGTTCCAATCAAAGATGAATTATTTGGTCAGGTTCCTGTTGCGTTTGTAGTTTTAAAAGATCAGTTTAAACAACAAATTCAAGATCCAACAAGTTTAAAAAATGAAATCAATCAATCATTAAGAGAAACTGAATATTTTGACCATGCAATACTCGAACATTTAGTAATTGTTTCATCACTTCCAAAAACAAATAGTAATAAAAAATCTAGAAATATATTAACTAAAATGTTTAATAGTAAGTAGAGTTTAAAAAGCAAACAATAAAAAATATACTAATAATTCTTTTTTCTAATTAGATGAACAATATACAACACCATCATTATCAAATATAGAAATTATAAATGATTTAGAAAAAGAAATTAAAAATTTTAAAAATAAATACATTTTTTAGTTTTAATTTATTATTTAATATTTTATTAATCGTTTTTAAATTGACCACTAACATGGAATTGTTCCAATAATAGTTTTTTGTTATTTAAATTTTGTTTATATTTGTTGTGTAGAAGTTGGTTTTCTTTATCTATTTGGTTTTTGATCCAGGTTGTTACATTCATATCAGTGTTTTCTTCAATATCATTTGTATCGTTTCTAACATAAAATAAAATATAGGGAACATCTGTACTAAATGATTTGGATATTTTTTGAATTGTTTTAATATCTGAAATTTGAACGAGACTATCATTAAATAAACACCAATCTAATTGTTTTGAGTTACTGGGTTTTGCATAACAATAATAATGGCCATGGTTTGGGGATCTGCCACTATGCATTATTATTGCATATAGTGAATAGTTTGAATATTTTGGTTTATCTTGGTTATCAGTATTATTGTTATTAGTATCACTATCATTATTATTATTGTTATTTGGAGTATAGGGTAAATTAAATTCTAATGGATAGTCCACATTATTTAATAGTTTTGAAATTGATTTTGATTCTCTTGAAAAATAAAATCTGTTGATACCTAAAATTAAATGTTGAGGAGTGGAGTTTAGTTTGATGATTTTATCTGCTTCTTCTAAACTTTTGCATTTTTCGCAATGATATTTGTTATCACCAACCAATTCTTCATTTGATAAATAATCTTGGACCATTTCTTCCAATGTATAGTTTTCTTTTTTATAATCGCTAAATGCCAATGGTATTTCTAAATATTCTTCGATTTTAATTGATTCATTTTTACATTTTCGACAGGTTATTTTGTTGGATAATTTACCACCAAATAATTTCGATATTTCGCTTGAATAGTTTTCAGTGTTTGTTGAGTTTGTATTTTTGTTTTCGCTACTATCATTGATTAATTTTTGTTTTTTTTGATTTCTTTCAAATTCTAAAACCTTTTCTTTGTTGATGTTTTTAAAAATTAAATCTAAATTATCTAATAAGGATTTTCCAAATTCAAAAGAATCGTGTTGCAAACCAGACTGGTATTCAATTGATAAGCATTTTAAAAATGAATCTGGTGATATTGATTCTTTGATTGATAGCCGAAGATTTGCAAATACAATTTGGATTTGTTTTAATAGTGGTGCTCTTTTGAAAATCTCTTTGCTGTACTTTTGTTCCATAAGCTTTACATTTTCTTCATTATCCCCTGTGGATACGTTGGTGATAAATTGACTTTTAATTGAGTTTATTAAATCTTGATCAATTTTTTGCAACAATAAATTTCTGAATGGTATTGTCATATAGAGTGCTTGAAGAAATGAGTTCATATAACAAGTATTTCCAAGATTAATAAGACCAGCCCTATCGGATAAAACTCTTTTCAATTTAATATTTTCAAATACTAAAGAATCTAAGCTTGGCCATGCGTTTTCTTCTAATAATTTCTTCATTTCAAATTCACTTGGGACAGGATCTAAGTGAGGTGACAGACGATGTAATAGTTGGATCAAGTCGGAATATAGCTCTGGGTACCCAGTGTGGTGGTACATTAAAGTCCATGATAGCTTTGAAAATTTGTTTAAAGTTGTATAGATTGATTTCTTGAATCTTGCAGGTTGGACAACTCTTTTAATTGAAAATACTAATAAATCCTTTCTTAGTGATGACCCATTTTCCCCACCATTAATGGATAGTATTTTTCTTACTGATTGCTGGATATCTGATTTTACTATTGGCACTAAATCTATAGTTATGGAGGAATTATCTTCTATACCTTTTATTTTATTGTAAAATGTGAATAAAAACTCTATTATAATTGGAAATAGTGGAATGATTGAATGAAAAGTATCTGGTGAGTGTTGATAGCCCAGTAGCATTCTTTCAAGGATTTCATATGCATTTGGTAACAGTTCTAATATGAACATTTGTCGAGTAATTGATTCTGCACACTCTATAACTATTGATGCTAATAGTGTTGTTTTCTTTGATTTTATTAAAGAGATGAATGTTTCTAAAATCCATTTTGAGTTTGTAAAAGTAAGGGGCCATTTTGTAAGTTTGCTAATAACTTCTAATAAATCGCTATCCTGTACTCTTCCATTATCAATAATATTAATGAATAATGGGATTAGTTCAATAGGTGATATATTTAAAATATTTATAATTGAACCTGTAATTTCATTTGATATATTATCACTATTATTATTATTATTATTATTATCTAATATAATTGAAAACATTTCTTGAATACTCTTTTCTATTAAGCTAAGTTGATTATTATTCCAAAATATTTTAACTAATTTAATATAGACTAATATAGTTTCATCACCCCTATTCCCATCATTAATTCCTATTGTAGCTAAATCTTGAATTATAAATTTAATAAATTTTAATAAAAATGTTTGTGGTAGCATCTCTTCAATTTTTATAAATCCTTGAATTGAATTTTCATTAATTTCAATAATTATATTTGATATTTGTTTCTAAATTTATAAAGAAAATATTTGGTTAGTATGATGTTTATTTCATGAATTTTTATAAAAAGAGTTGGTACAAACAAGTAAATCTCTATTATTGTTTAATATTTTTGAATTTCGCATCATAATATTTTTTAATGATGTATAAAAATATTTTATTTCGCTTGTATTCTCTATAGTAAGTTTATCACTACTTTTAATTTTACATTTTAATATAATTTGATATATTCCTAAAAATATATGTAGATTTAAATTAAGCTAAATAATTAAAATAAAGAGTCATTAGTAAACATAACTAGTTTGAATATGAAATTTTATATAATGAATGGGTTATGATTTGTAGATAATGATGCTACTTACAATTGGGTTTAATAAATCAACTAATTGATTTGATGTAAATCCATTTGAAATAGAAATGACAAATTCATTATTATTTTCATTGTTGCAATAGATTGCTTTAAATATGTTGCATAAGATTTCTAATGTATCGCTTTTGTTATTTGAAAAAATATTTTTAAATTCATCATCACTCTGTTGTTGAATTGATTTAATAATTTCTAAAGTTTCAATAAAATCATTAACTATTTGATTTTTATTTATATTATTATTGTTATTTATAAATTGGTCTATATTGCTATTATAATTATTATTATTATTATTATTGATACTAATATTAATAAGATATACAATAATGTTCATTTTTTTTTAAAAAAATTAAAAAAAAAAAAAAAAAAAGATAAAAATAATTTAAATTTAAAAAAATGAAATTTTTTTTAAAATATTTTCATTTAATTTTAAAATAATAAAGTAAATTAAAATAAAAAGATAAAAACCAGTATAAAAAAAAAATAAAGATATTAAAAAAAGAAAATAAAAGTAAAAAATATGTTATAAATTTTTATCTTTATTTATAAAACTAACTCTTTATGAAATATAAAAATCTGAATTGATAATAATTAAATTAAACTAAATATACTTTTTTACTGATTGTTATTTGTTAATTTAAATATTATAATTGATGGTGAAATAATATATAATATGAAAATATTAATGAGATCTTTTGATTGGTATTTCTTGAAAAGGTGGTAAAATGTGGTATTATGAGTTTGATTGTTGGTGATTGTTGGTGATTGTTGGTGATTCATTATATTATTGCGGTGGTGGTGATGAGTTAAACAACTGTGAGCTTTAATAAGAAAAAATGTTATTATGATTGATGGGTGCCCCTGATGAATGTTGATTATTTGTTTGAACAAAACCCCTTTGTTTGATTATACACTCTATACATTAAACGTATTGATATTGAAAATAACGGAAACTGAATAAATATTAAAATGAATATTAGTTTCTTTTATATTTAAATATAAATAATTATATTAATGTTATCATTATAGTTACCTTTTAATTTTGCTTTTTATTTGATATTGGAATATTTGTCCATTTTCTGATCTTTTATATGAAGGGTTGAATTTCATGATGCCATATGTAGTACTAAAGTTGATAATGATTTGATTATTTCCTGAATTCCTTTATGGATGATGTAGTTAACTATTTAAAATTTAATCGATTTTAATATGAAAAATAGAATAACGATTTGGTTAATAATTTCATCGCCATCGAACTCAATAATTGAAATTAGAATGAACGATTTAATTATTAATTTCCTCGCCATCGATGATTAATCATGATTAATCGAGATCCATGTAGTCACCAGATTCTTCGGAGTTAAAACTATCAAATGAATTATTATTATTTGTAAAAAATTCATCTGGAAGATAGTCATCTTCATTAAAATTGTTTCTAGAATCTGATTGATCATTGTGAACAGAATGGGAATCTGATTCATCGGAATCATTATCGGAATCATAACCAGAATTATTATCATTGGAACCATTAACGGATTCGTTGGCTTGTTCTAATGGTTCTAATTTGACATCAAATATTGATACTTTGACTTGACCCTCTCTCTGCAATTAAATAAAGAAATAAATTAATATAAGTTTTATTTATTATGTATAAATATTAATATCATATGAATTACTTACTTGAATAAAAAAAAAAAACTTTCTGCATAATGGACAAGTATTATTATTTAATTTGCACCATTTACGGATGCATTCATTGCAAAAAGTGTGAGAACAAACTTCGATAGTGGAGGTATTGGTGGTATTTAATTTTATATAACAAATACAACATTCGTTATTTTCTAAACTCTCCTTTTCTAATTTTTCTTTTTCGATACGTTCTTGTTCTCTTCTTTCTTTTTCCACATTTTCTTTTTCTAATCTCTCTCTTTCAATACGTTCTTGTTCTTTTTTTTCTTTCTCGACACGTTCTCTTTCTATTCTTTCATTTTCCAACTTTCCTTTTCAATACGGTCCTTTTCTGCTTTATCCCTTTTTAATTTTTCTTCCTCAGCAGAATTGAAATTTGGAGTATTTGATGAACCTGCACATTTATAACGAGATTGGTCTTTGTTATATGATGGATATTCTGATGCTTGATGTGCACTTTTTTGTTGGTTTCTTGATGGAATATCTGTTGGTTTTGGTTCATTAGTGGTATTGAAACGGGAATGAGAACTATTGAATGCTGGGTAACTAGATTGTGCCCTTGATGGTGTATATGGTTGTTGTGGTTGTTGTGGGCATTGATGTTGAGTCTTGTTTGATGTAGTACCAGCAGCATTAAAACGTGATTGTTCTCTATTATATGTTGGATAATCATTTGAACGTGTTCTTGGGGAATTTTGTTGTGGGCTTGGTTGCTGTTGTTGTGGGTGTTGTTGTGGTTGATTTGATTTTGGGAGACTACCGGCATTATAACGTGAATGGACTTGGTTAAAATTTGGGTAGTTTGTTGATTGTTGTTGTTGTTGTTGTTGTTGTTGTTGTTGTTGTTGTTGTTGTTGTTGTTGTTGTTTTCTTTGGAGCTCTTGTTGTTGCTTTAACTCTTGATCTTTTTGCTTCATTAATTCTTCTTGCTTTCTTTTCTTCTCTTCTTGCTCTTTTAAGAAAGCTTGCTCTGATTGTTGTTGTTGTTGTTTTCTGTACATTTCTTGCTCTTGTTGTTGTTGTCTTCTGTACATTTCTTGTTCTTGTTGTTGATTGTTTAATGAAGCGGCAATATTATAATGAACTTGATTTGGGTGTTGTGGGTAGGTTCTTTGATTGCTATGGTTATTGGAGAAGCAATCATTGTGGTTGGTATTGTTGGTGTTATTGGAGTTGTTGGTGTTATTGGTGTTATTGGTTTGGGTGTTATTGGTGTTGGTTTTTTTGTTTAAATATTTATTAAAAATAAAACTAAGTGAAATACCAATGATAAAAATTGTAAAAAAAATAATTAAATCATCCATTGTTGATTAAAATGAATTGTGATTTGGATTATTTGGGAATGGTTGAAAATTTTTATTAAAAAAAAAAATATTGCAGTTATTAAAATATATTATTATATGGAGTATTATAATAAAAAAATAAAGCAAAATAATTATTTGTATGTTGAAAAAAAAAAAAAAAACAAAAGAAAAGATGAAAAAAAAAAAAAAAATGATAAAACAAAAAAAAGGAGACAATTTTTCGCGTTTGGAAAAATTTAAAAAAAAAACCCCAATTTTTAATTTTAAAAAACATTTAATTTTAATTTTTTATTAAAAAAATCACAAATTGGTTTTTTGCCCAAAAAAAACCCGAACTCCCCGCCCCCAAAAAATAAAAAAACCCCCCCCTCTTTTTTTAAGGGGGGAACGGAAATTATTACTATACAGCGGCCATATTATAATTTAAAAAAAACCCCCTTTAAATAAACCCCTTTATAAAGATTGGGTTTATTTTG